ATTTTTTTATTTAATTAAATTAATAATGGTGCTTCAAATTTGAGGTCTGGACGTTTAGAAAATATTTCGTTTGCACTTCGCAAGTCAGGATGATCAATTATGGGTGGTCACATCGTCATACACATCATTCTCAAATAATGTGGCCGCCGATAATTAGACATCCGCACAAAAATTTTTTTTTCAAGATAAGGGCTTTTCTCACATAAGCTTTTCTTGCATACTACTATACTAGTGACTAGCATTCAATATTAATTAATATCCTTAAAATTCACCTTCTAAAAAGAATAGCATGCTTAAAATTCATCTTCCTAAAAATAATAAATAAATAAATAATATTGCGTTAAATGCACATTAGCATATGTTAAAATTTAATTTTATTTGAATTTTTTTATTTAATTTATAATAGGAAAGTATAATTTTTTGGAAATAGTACACCAATATATTACGATTTAATTTAATTTAATTTAATCTTAAACTTTTAAATTGTTTTAAAAAAATTGTAAATTTAGTGTCTGAAGACTTTTAGCGGTAGAGTGAATTTAACATCTTAACATTTCATGATGACCAAACATGCACACAAAAAAAGAGAGGAGACACCAAAACTTTTACTTGAAAACCCTAGTACAGAGAAAAAATTTCGGTGCCTAGACCAATCAAAATAATTTACTATATAATTATAAGAATGTAATTTCACTCTTTTTCTGATTTAGAGAAGATGAGATTGCAATACTAATAATTACAAATGTATAATAGAAATTCAACTATAACAGTCATAATTGGGCTGTAATAAATCTAGTTGATCATGAAGGTCATTGTTGATGGCTACAATAGCTGTAATTGACCACCTAGGTTGCAGTTTGAAGTTCTATAGTAGTAGTTAGCCACAAAGTCCATAGTTGGTTGTTGCACATGTAATTGTTGCCCACAAAATGTTGTGGTTGGAAGCTACAATATCATCGGTTGGCCACAAATGTTGGTGATTGCATTAGTGTCAGGTGGTCACAAATACCATAGTTAAAAATTGTACTAGAAAGGTTGAAGTCAGCAGCTGTAAGAGAAACAATCAGTCACAAAGGCCATAGTTTGAAGTTTTATCAATAGTTGACCACAAAGACCATAGTTAGTGGATATATGAGCATAAGTCGGTCATAGAGGTTATAATTAAATCCACAATAATAGTAGTTGACGACAATTGGAAGACGCGACAGCAGTAATTACCAATAAAAGAGTTGGCTACAGTAACAACAGTCAGCCACAAAGCTCGCAGATGGGAATTGTGATAGTAGTAATTTTCCACAAAGATTGTAATTGGTGACTAGAAGAGCAGCACTCAACCACAAAGATAATAATTTGGAATTACTATAATAGTAATTAATGACAAAAGTTGTAGTCTATGATTGTAACAAAATCAGTTGACCATAGATGTTGTAGTTGAAGTCCGCGACAGTAGTAATTAGTCATAAAGATTGTAGTTGGTGGCTACAATAACAATAGTCAGCCACAAAGATCGTAGTTGGTAACTGTGACAATGATAGTTGGCCACAAAAGTTGTAGCTAATGTCTAGACCCCTCTCTCTGGAAGAATGAGGTTACAAAATTACACTAAATGTTGCATTTATCTTTATAAAATGTATAAAAAATAATGGTGTTAAGAACAACCATTATGTTTTAGCATGGATATTAAAAAGCAATGGTTGTTAATGGTCGGTAGTAGGCGGTAGTTGATGCTAACAATAATCACTGTTTGATCATGGTCGGCGACCACAGAGTTGAAAATTATCATCATCTTTTTAATATGTTACATTGTATTTTGGATATGATGTTTCCAAGCAAGGGTCATTGGGGTATAAGATCAACGACGAAAAATAGTGATGGGCGGCGGTGGTTGACTGACAGTGGTCGAAGGTGGTCGGAGGCTACAGATGCCCCCTATTTCTTGAGAAATGTTGTTTGTGACATTCAAAAATATAATGTCAGATGTTCAAAAAATTATACTTTGAGAAAATTTGAGTAGTCGTGCATGCTTTGATCATGTTGTTGTTTTCAGGGTTAGAGGCGGTGGTGGTTTGGCAACAATGGTTAACGGAGGTCGGGTAGTGATTGTACATTTGTAGTGACTGCCAAATAGTGGTGGTCTAGTGGTAATGACAGTTTTTTGTTCGCATACCATGACGTGCTTCTAATTATGTTTCTATGTGCATGTTTCTATACATACATGTGTCTATGCTTGTGGATGTGTATGTGTGAGCATGCGAGTGTGGACGTGTGTCCTTGCACATGAGCCATTTTTTTATAGAAATTTTAAATTTTTAAAATTTTCAAAATTTAGCGCCAACTTCCAATTTTTTTCATATAAATAGGTTATTTGGAGGGAAAGAAACCACACCAACCTTCCACAGGTTGCAGCCTCTCCTAGGACACTATTGCCTACCCCATCAGGTTGTTGTTGCCTCCCCCAACATATGCCATTATTGCCTTTCTTAGAATAGGTTGTTGCTGCCTTCTTCAAATTAGGTTATTATTGTCTTCCCCAAAATAGGTTGTTATTGCCTTGTTGATCTCACTTTTGGTTGAGGTCTAGTTTTTCCTCTTTGATAGCCTAGGATCTAGCCAAAGAGCTTTCCTGTTGACTACTTCTAGAGAACTAGAAAAAGAACCCTCACCATTAGAAACTCTAAGAAACTCTAAACTCTTCTTTGCTTTCTTCTTTGCTTAACTTGAAGTTTCACATATTGGTCATAACCTCTAGCACTTAATTGGCGGGGCCAATATGAGGAAGCTCAAGGGGAATCCCCATAAGACTGTCTGGCCTTAGGGTTGACCCTACGTGTTGGTTTGGAGATAGTTTACTCACACTCACTTTCAACCCTAAACTTAAACTTGTTGACTTTGATCCATTGATCTTTTGGGAGACTCATGTAGATAGTCACAAAATGGTCCCTTAGACCCACTAGTCCTAGGCTAGGATTTGGCTAAGACCAGTACATAGAGGACCCAAATGAGGGTTTCATTAGTCCATGGCTCATATAGGGTGGTTGGCACCTCATTTTCACCAAAATATCAAACTTGGCCCTCCGCCCTTCCCCCCCCCCCCCCCCCCTCCCAAAAAAAATCTACCCAAATTATCTAAACATCCCAAACCCCAAATTTGACCAAAATTCACCCAAACTACTCAAATTTGTTCAAAAATCATTTCAGACCATTTCAAACTAACCAAATTGCCGAAAACCACCCAAAACTGAGAAAATTACCAAAATACCACTAAATTTGCCAAAATTACCAAAATGCCCATGGTGAATCAAACTTTCCCAAAACCCACAAAATCATTTAAAATGTCTCCAAAATCACTTTGAACTCTTCCATTGAGCCCAATTTGACCAATTTTGACCAACAACCACAAATTGCCCTTAAAGACCCAATTTCCCCAAATTCATCTCAAATCTCCATCAATTTGATCCCAATTTTCCCCAATTTCAATTCTCAAATCAAATTCATCATTACAAAACTCACTTCAAACCAAGTAACCAAATCTAAGCCCAATTGACCCACATTTGAGTCCAATTTCAACCCAAATCAAAAAGCCCCAATTTGGCCCAAAACCAAATTCTCATTCAATCAAAACTAAAATCCCATTCAATTGACCCCAAATCTTTCCAATTGCCTCAATTGTGCATAACAAACTCTTTGAAACATTCCCACACATCAAATTGACCCTTCAATTGGCCTTGGTCAAGCCTCAATTTCACCTAAAATCAAATTGGACCAAAACCCCAATTTACCCCAATTTGTCTGTCTCTAAATGTCACCTAATTGAATGCCCAAACCCCAAAATTGACACTCAATTGATGTTGAGAACTCTTCATGATATTCCCCTAGACTATTTTCAACCATTAATTTGGACTTAACCCAACTCTAGCTCAACCTAAGCCCAAGTCAAACCCAACATCCCTAAATTGACTAAATGGCAAAATCCTCCAAATTGAACCTCTAAATTAATTCAAAATCACTCCAAATCTTTTTTAAACTCTTCATGACAATCATCTACACCAAATTTTTCAATCAATTGGGCTCAATGTCATGTATATCCAAACCCAAACCCAACTTCATGCCAATTTGACTCAAATTGAACCCAAGCACCAAAATTGACTAAACCATGCTCAAGTAACCAAATTAATGACACCACAACCACCAAGTACACCCTAGTGACCATCCTAGACCCACCTAACCCAGCCAAGGTGGGCTATGAACCAATGATTCCCTAAATTAAGGGATCTCATCCCATTTTTTCATCCCTCATCCCATTTTTGGGTCTAAGCCAAAATATCTCCACCATCATGACAAACCATTAGTGGTTAATCATAATTAACCCTCCCCTTGGCTCACCTGACTTCTCTGGACACCATCTCTGGACCTTCCAGCTGGCTAAGTGGTCGAAAAACACCAAAACCAAGAGCCCCCATGCCTTAACTCAAACCTAATTTCACCCATCCAATGAGTCCAACTCTGATTAGCATTTGGCATTTTGAAGCCCTCCACATAAGCACTTAATTAAACCCAAATTAAAGACCTGAGCTCCACCCTAAGCCCCTCTATTTAAACCACCTT